CGTAACATAACTTTACGAACTAAACTTACTTACTTGGAGGCTGAAATAGGTGGAATTAAAGCGACGACAGGCCATTTTGTACAAACTCTACCTCGGAATATTATGTACTATCTTTTACACGCGGCTTCACTAGCACTGAATCAAATATTTTTTTTTTTAATTAAATGTATCCTATGTTCATTCTAATACTGGATGTATTAGAACATGTGTACAAAATTTCAATTTCAGGTTCAGTAGTTTTTGCGTAAAAGCGTAACAAACATCCCTACTTTCACATTTATAATATTAGCACAGATAATATAATATTACATAATATTAGTAAGCTTGTTTTTATTGATATACGATCTTATAAAGTTTATCAATAAAATAATATGTTTTTCATGGATTTTTTTATTACAGATCATACCAGCAGATCATAGAGAGGTATAGGTATACAGAAACCTTACTATTGTTAATATCTTGACTTGATAGAGAGCTAATTATTATACAATGGAATTTACTGTTAATATTATTTTTAGTAAATAAGTCTAACCTCCAGGTCCCACTAGAAATCGTCATGGTTGAATGAATTCACCTGACATAAATTATCTCACAAAAATATTGCGCTTCACATTATGTATGTATATTAATAATATCTCAGTACAATTCACACAGTGCCATCTAGTCCCAAGAAAAGTCCCAAAGTTTATGTTATGTGTACTAGACAACTGATATAAATACATGGATACATATTTTGTAAATAAATAATATTATACATAGAAAACACCCTGCCCGATAGTCATACTCATGAATACAATTGTTTGTACTGTGCGAGGAATCGAATTCGTGACCATGGGAAGAAAAGCGGTATGCTAAATAACTAATCACCGAGGCCGTAGATTGAAATGTACAGCAAGTAATTTTTGTGCCATATTTTTTTTTTATTTTCATCCAGTTTAGTATATACATGCAATTCCTTTTTTGCAGCTATATATAACTGACCTGAATGTAGTAATTTAGTTATTTCAATCAAAACCATCTCATTTTTAACGGTTTTTGCAACAAATATTATTGGCTCTACAACCATATTATATACTACTGAAATGATCTGAAACAAAATATATTTGTTATTATAGTCTGGGTTATTGAACCATTGACCCTGCATCTAGCCAAACGGATCTTGGCTGTCCTGCCAAGTACTATATTACATACATATTTTACGCGCTTAATTTTGATGTAGCAATGCTTTGACGTAACATCTTAAATAGTCTACGCATGGCCTATTTTATATTTGTAGAGCCAAACTATTGAATAATAATTATAATCCAGAATAACGGCCAAGACGCCATCTAAGCTACGCAGAACTTTTGTTATGAGTTATAGACAACCGATATAAATACTTATATACTTTTTATTGGAAGTACATAATGTACGCAGAAAAAACCCAGACCAATACAGTCATGAATATAAATGTTTGACTCGAACTTGTGACCATCAGGATACTGACTAATTGGTACATGAGAGTGGGACTGAAAAAAATACTGCGCGTACCTGAAACAATAGCAAATTTATTTGTCTCTATAGTGAAGCTAAAGTCTTAATAAACAAAAAGAATGTTGAGAACACCAAATGTCTAAAGCATTATTCACATTAAATTCAAAATATATTGGGAATATCATTGAACATTACTTGTAAATAAGAAAATATCGCGCTATTTTTTCTATATTAATATGTATAAAGATTTAAACAATTATTTCATTATTAGGTAACTAAACCATCAAGGAGTAATGGACGGAAAAAATTGCGAGATACAGCTGCTAAAAAGATAAAAAATATCTTTTGTTTATGGCTATAAAATATACACATTTCTAAAAAAAATATTTTAAATTAGTAACTACCTAATTAAAAAACTGTATTACGATAGTTAAAATCAAACATAACGAGACACATCATAATCGGTTTATTAGTTCAGGATGTACGATACCACAGGCCGACAGCCATGTCAACCACAACAGCACTGTAAAAAACAAGTGCCAACAGAGAACAAGTATTACTTAGGTGAACAAAATAATATTTATAATGTGTACAATTCATCTTAATTTCCAGCACCCCGCTCATTTGCATCTGCCCCGCTTAGACAGTGTGAGTGCTTCGCGAATTCAATTATTAAGTAAAAACTCTTTACAAGTTCCCAATTCAATTCAAGAGAGTTATTAATGCCAGAAATTTAGTCCCTTCGTTAATTAATCTTGTTACATCCAATTTACGGTAATACAGAATTTGTACAGAGATATAAGTCGCTCGTATAATATGATTAGCGTTTTAATTCATCCATTTTGAAATTTGAATCAGGAATTTGTTTTGATTTCAACTATGAAATTTAATAAGCTTTAATAAATATATTATCCAAGTTGTCTGAAGGCCGCCTTTTGTTTAGCACATTTATGTACAGTTTTCGTTTGTAATTATTTATTTTAATTAAATAAAAAATAAATTTTTTTTCGGTTGTTTTGTTTTTTTTTTTCGGCGTTTTGTTTCGGGGATGGTTACTACTTATAATCTGTAGAACAATCAGCCTGTTTTCACTTACAGTCACGTCATCGGCACTACCAATACGAGACTAATGTAAGTAATACATAATATAGAGATAGATACCCATTATTACATAGGGTAATTTCTTCATTATAATTTCTATATATTATGTACTTCATATATATAAAAGCTGCCCGCCCTGGCTTCGCACGGGTGTACATGTATTATACATATAAATCTTCCTCTTGAACTACTCTATTAATACTGCATTATAATCCGTTGCGTAGTTTGAAAGACCTAAGCGAACAGACAGCCAAAGCGACTTCATTTTATACTATATAAAGATATATATATTTATTTGAGTGTCTACAGCGTTATATATAAATACATTTTATAGGGGGATCGAATTCCCATTAACTAACAACCCCTCCACGTGGTTAATATGCAACAATATTTATACTGCATTATAATTAATTTTCTTAGGTGCATGAGCCTCACTTACAACATTTGCATAAGATTGAATTACAACACGTAAGTATTATAAGTGTTACTCAGTATACTAGCAATACCTACTAGTTATTACATGATACTAAGTTTTAATTACCATCTTTTATACTGTGTTTTTTTAAGCAAATAAATTATTATTATTATTATTATTATTTGCCATGATATTCATAGCTTTTTGTATTATGATTAATAGAAAATTGCTAATCTGTTAAAATTCTAAAGTGCTAAGAACTTATTTCCTATAATACCATAATATGATAAAAATGATAATGTTCTCATTTCAGCCACATCAACATCAGCAGATGGCGGATTTTAAGGACCATGTATGTATTTTTTTGTGATACATATTTATGGTTTAGTGAAGCATAATAAAATGAGCATGAAGTCAGGTCAGGTCGCCCATCTTGGTACATAGCAATTTACCATGATGGCTTCCATGGGAAACCGCGTGGAGGTCAACCTACATGGTACATTGGTAGAAATGGGGTTATTAGAACACATTACTAACAATCCCCCACCCATAAATTATTATTACTTAAATACTTAGGAGCTTATTACCGTGATAAAAAAATAAACTTATATTTTTACGTTTAGATCCATAGTTACTTGGTAAGTAAAAATAAATACATTTTAATTATAAAAATTATCTATTATTTTATTATAATTCAAATGTGTTTTTTTATCATAGGATTAACTTTTATTTATTTATGTGTTATTTTGCGAAAGTCAATTTCATTACTTAATAAATTTAAACAAAATAATATAAATCCATTATGTAATAATATGACAAACATTCATATTTAGCGGTTTCCTAACTCCTCAAATCAAAATGTCGAAACCGTCAAAACATTAAATCAATCAAAACAGTAAATATATTACGACCATTTCCAGAGAGAACAACAGTCACAGGACCGTGATGGAAAGGACGGTGACGACGACTACGAGCAGTAATGCAATTACCAAATACAGAATGAACTTATAATATGGACAAGGAATGTTTTTAATAAGTCAATTAAAATGCAAATAATCTACATAAAATGCAATAAGTATCTATATTGGTTTTATTTTAATAAACCCGCAAGTTTATTACCTACCCAATATTACTAACTATTAGTAACTATATAGATTTATTTATTAAACTAGCTTATTTTAAACCATTTACGTACCAATGTCTCATCTATTTCAGCCGCCAAGCAGGTTGCTTTGAAAAAGAACCGAAATAAAGATTTTTCAAACTACTTATTCTACCGCTGTTAGCCGCAGCTGGTCTTTGTAGCTTCACCGATGTAAGTGCAGATGTCACTCCAAACCCACGAAATGACTTATGGAGTGGTTAAAAGGCAACTTCTGCCTGACGTTAGAACCTCGGCTCAGGGCGTTCTATTGTCGATAGCTGTTCGGAGAATTATAATATATTAAGAACGCGATTCCACTATTATAGTTACTATTTGCTCATTGATTTCACTTACATAAAGCATACATTTCCATACCATACCTATAATATAATTTATATACCTAATAATCCATTAAAAGTCATTCAAAGCGGAGAGTCTTGAATGATTTTATAATAAATCCAGATTTTCTTTGCTTTATGAGTTACATACCATGTCTTTCTTTTAGGTATAAAATTTACTGCTGCAAAAAAAAATGTTTTCTTCGGTTTATCCCATCTCAGGGAAAGGCAAAAGGACTCAATACCATACAGCCTAGTCGTGCTGCGAATAATTCATCTAACACATCTTTAAAGTCAATGTCACTGGTACATTCTAATTGTCAAAATATTAACGTCAATTTCTCTATTATCTGTAATCCATCAATGTCAAAACTGTTGCAAAAAATAAAAATTCAATAACGCGTTTACTTCAATTAATTTTTAATTTGTATTTTATATTGTTCAATTAATAATGCCTAGTTTTCTTTATTTCTACAATTCGTATAATTTAATTTTTTATTGAACACATTAATGTGATTATAACTTTTTTATTTTAGTAACTTAAAACACATTGTAAAATTGATATATTTTACTGTAATAAGTGAATAAATATAATGACTGCGAAGATAGATCAGAAGGCGTATTTACAAAAATATCTTAGCGGTCCATCTGGAGACAAAAAGAAAAAGAAGAAGAAAGTTGTTAAAGGCAAAGGGTAAATATACAATCCATATTAGATCTTTTCCGCATACTAATAAATACAGGGTTTTCATATCTGTTATATATTTTTTAGATTAATTACTGTTTTATTCATTATATTGAATCTACCTCGCAACCATACACATAGCTACCGTACTAGCTAATTACTAGAACAATATCTTAATAATTATATTGACTCTGCATTCTGTTTTTTATTTATGTATGTTAAAATCGAATGGTGCATCCACCTGCGCTAACTGTTTATGTGGGTGGGGCAACAATGGAAGATGATAAGATGAGCATGAAGTCGGATCAGTTTCCCTATCTTAGTAAATTCACCATAAATTTTACATGATAGGGAAACTGACCCGATAGTGAACTGATGATGTTGATGATGGGTTCCATGTGGTTGTTAGTCCATAGTATTAACAATCCCCTTCCAAGCTCTCATTTTATCTCTGCTTTATGTATAAAATGTAATTGCTCACAATTTTCCAGTGTTTTAAAGTTGTAACAGTTGTATGTGTTAAGTTGTAATATGACAGAACAAATTTCATGTTCTAAATAATGATACATTATTTAGAACATGAAATTTAGTTTAGTGAGACCAAATTGCATAAATAAAGAAATTTTTGTCAATAATAAATATCCCAGAACAATTTACACAGCACCATCTAGTCACAAGATAAGCGTAGCTTGTGTTATGTGTGCTAGACAACTGACATAAATACATGAATACATTTTTTTTGTAAATAAATATATTACATAGAAAGCACCCAGACCTATACAAACAATCATATCATGATTGTTTCCGGTCCATGTGAGGAATCGAACAAAGCACCATCAAATAATAAACTATATAGTAGTAAATGAATCTATGTTGCCAATGTCACTGCTTAAATGAGTTAGTTTCATATAAATCAGAGTATGATCTAAATAATTTAAGCTTTAATGTTTGGGTGACAAGTGTATGGTAAAATACATTCTTTCTTTAAAAACTTATAAATAATTTGTGAGGTGTAACCAGCATAGTTTCCAGTTGCAAATTATTATCATTTACAATATTTTCTAATGTTACATACATTTTTCATGCCTATGAACTGCACTTTATAATTGTATTAATATTATCAGTTTCAGAATCATAGATGATGATTTAGATTTAACCAAATTAAGACCTCTTGATGGTGATGAACTTGATATACTAGATGAAGGCGAGGATGCACCACAAATAGCTGGAATCATTGATGATAGACCAGAGGAGCTGAAGAAGTTGGAGCAATTCAAGACCAATTCAAAATGGAAAGTTGTCAGTCAGGTATAAAACTATCCTATAATACTTTTTTTAACAACAATTTTATGAAAGGCAACCTAGTGAATTAAAATTATAAAGAGAATCATGCTACTTACACATAAATAACAATACTACTAGAACTAAAATACTATAAGAGAAGAATTTCAGCCTTTTTTTTTTTGCAATTAGTCTGTCTCATTGTCATAATTTCACCGTCATATATTTGCTCACAATGAACCTATTTTCTCATGATTATTGATCTAAAAAGTAATTTTTAATATATGCATATTTTTCAGGATGATGGTTTCAATAGCAAATTGCAAATACAAGAAATAAAAAGGGATGTCAAAGAAACAGAAAAAGAGAATGAGATTATATTTGGGAAAATGTACAGTGATTCAGAAGATGAAAAGAAAAATGATTCAGATCTGTCACCACCTAGAAAAACAGAAAAAGATGGTCAAAAACATACTTCATCTGCTAAAAAGCACCAAAATCATTGTGATAGTGACTTTAGTCCACCTAGAAAAGGGAGAGAAGCACCGTCAAAGAAAACTAAATCGGAAAACAGAAAAGAATATGATTCTGATTTGTCACCACCTAGAAAACAAAATGTACAGAGTACAAAAGATATTAAAAAACCAAGAAAACCAAGTAGATGGGGTGATGCTGAAGATACTGAGAGAAGACACAATTCATCACCCAAGAGAAGATCTCGGTCACCTCCACTGTATAAAAGACAATCAGATTCAGATGTTTCACCTCCAAGAAAGCAGCAGAAATCTGGAAAACAAAAGACTTATGATTCTAATCGTTCTCCATCTAGAACATCCAGAAAACATTCCCCGAAACGTAGACCTAAATCACCAGATTCTGATATTTCACCACCAAGAAAAAGAAAACAATCACCTGAAAGACCTAGGAATGATAAATATCGAAATAGTAATAAGAAAAACAACAAGAAATCTTATGAAGATTCTGATACTGATTTATCACCACCTAGGAAAAATAGAAGACAAAGATCACAATCACCTCCTAATAAATATAGGAAACATTCACCTGACATCAATCGTAGAAGGAAAGATAGTGATTCTGATCTGTCACCCCCAAGAAAAGATAAGAATTCTATGAGAGAAAGATATAGAAGAACTAGTAACAGTCCACCTCCAACCAATAAAAAAATGGCGAGAACATTAGAAGGAAAGATGGCAGGATTGCAGAATGCAAAGCAATTGAAAGAGGAAAATGAACAATTCAGGAGAAAAGAAGATGAAGCATTCAATAGAATGGCTGATGATGTATCTGGAAGGAATGCTCAAGTAGTCTCTAGAAAAGGTGAGTAATACTTTTATGTAATTTTAATGGGAAACTCACAGCCCATCTGATGGTAAGAATTAAGCGCCTATTTACAGGAACAGCACCACATACATCATGTCATCTAACACTCATTGCATCACTCATGTGTCGCCTTTGTGGACTAATGTCATTTAACTGCTTTATTTTAAGTCCTTTAACCGAATTCAAAAATCAAAAACATCTTACATAGCAAGCTGCTTGTTGACTGAAATTTGTAAGTCGAAACAAAGCAACAATCTGTCGTTGCTGTGTTACTTTTTTGTGTTAATTATGATTTTTTATTTAGTAATAAATGCGAGTATGTGATAAAGTATGTTGAAGTAATTAATTTATTAATATTCCAGTTAAAAGAGAAACTTCTGAAGATAGACAAAAACAGAGGGAAAAAGCTGAAAGGCAGAAACAATTAGATGAAAAATACAAAAAGTGGAGTAAAGGGTAAGTTCATAATTATTTGTAATAAAGTATATTAGTTATGTAATCTTGGACTGTCTGTTTATAATATTGAAATAATTAAAAAATACATGCATATGAATATAAATACGGTACATACACCAAAATTACATTTTTTAAACTCTTTTTCAGTCTGTCTGTTTCTTCCCGCTAATCTCTGAAATGTTTGGACCTATTTTGACGGGACTTTTATTGGCAGGTAGCTGATGTAATATCACTGATTAATAATAATCACTAAATGCTTTATTATCTACTTACAGTTTAAAACAAATTGAGGCACAAGAATCACGTGTGCAGGAGTTCCTGCATGAGGCGTCGAAGCCTCTCGCACGGCACAAAGACGATCGCGACTTAGAAGATAGTCTCAAACATATCGAAAGAGATGGTGATCCAATGTTGCAGTATATCAAGCAGAAGAAGAGAGAAAGGGGAGAGTTGGGTCCAGGTTAGTTTTTATAAGTGATCAACTAATATGCATATTATGCATACCAATACACATAGTTATATACATATGTTATATGCGAGGATAATACCTGCGACCTACGTTAGTAATGCAAGGGGAGTTCAATCAAACTGTCGAGATATTTAATGTTAAGGCCGACAAATTAAATCGACGATAGTAATAGAAGAGAATACCAATAAGTACTTGGTTTTAATATATAATTCGTAAATAGTAATTCATAATAAGTTTATAAAGCATACTGCAAAAGGTAGTATAATGCAACACAAATTGGATAGTTTGGGAGCATTCATATACATAGATTTTGTAGTGTGACACACACACACACACATATATTTATCAATATATAAAATCCATTTTTTCTGCTGGCCCTATCACCTTTATGTTAACATCCACATAAAGGCATAGATTTGTATGGGTTTTAGTTTGTTTTCAAATAGATAATGCATATAACTGTAAATATATTGTTTACAGAAATGCCGTCATACAAAGGCAGTTTCCCCCCAAACCGCTTCAATATAAGACCAGGCTACCGTTGGGACGGTGTAGACAGATCAAATGGTTACGAAAAGAAATATTTCGCCCAACAGAGCAAGAAGAAAGCGCAAGAGGAAGAGGCCTATAAATGGAGCACTGAAGATTTGTAAATAGATTGTGTATATACTCGTAATAATATTAATTATGAAATATAAATGTTTTTGTAATACTAAATAGTTTAAATTCGGTTTGTGGCCTAAAGTAGTAATTTAGAAATATAAAATTCCGCATAATATAAACTGGTGTCAGTAAATCACCAAGAAGTTTCAGAAAATCTCCAGGAGGCGGTAAAAAGAAGATTTTGAGTGGAAGTGGAAAATTCTTTAGACAATTTACACTGAATAATATTACTATGTCATATTCTGTTATCTGTGATATTACGGACATCAGTTTATCATGACACCCTTAATAACCCTGAATGCTTTACACTTCTGGAAGGCTGAGATATGATGTCTCTCATCCTATAATTTTACTATTTTATCTCAACCTTTAACCTAAACTAAGCAGTTACGGTTGAGGTAAAGTAGTGAAATTTCTGTAAGCACATAGCAAGACTCTTGATAGCTGAAATAATAATAATAATATTTATATCTCCTCACAAACATGTATGGCAACAAGTACATGTAGTATTTTGGATAATACAATGCATAACTTTATTTTTACACTCAATTGTTAAAGCTGTATCTGAAATTTTTGTTGTAATGTTGAGAAGCTTGTTTCTGAAATAGGAAAACAAAGATGCTTAAGACGTCTTTTTACAAAGTAATCTGTAGTGACTTTGTAAAAATTGGATCAAATAAAAGACATTGTGTGATATAGGGATTTTATTAAGTCTTTAAAATCTGATATTGCTTGTAAGTCATATCGATTATTGTATAAATAACAATTTTCACTAAATACTTATTCGCCGAAAAAAATATTAAGACAACTTTTATATACGCTATTAAATCTAAAAATATATTGAGCTATATTTATATTCTATATGCTTTTAATAGCTAACAGTGCCGGATTAAGCCAGGGGCTGTAGCATACTTTTAAATAGTACATAACTTAGTTTCGAAATTTAGGTTTAAAAAAGAGCAAACAAACGTCCAGTGTTATACCTGATTTAGATTTTGTTCAAACAAAACTAAATTTTTAAATCAAAATCCATGTATTATCTTATTAGGTTTTAAAAAAAGAGCACCCCCAAACGACCAATCTTGAATCTAGTTTAGACTTTTTGCAAACTAAAAAAAATTTTTTATTTTATTTTTAGGATAGGTTCAGACAATGCCCGTTAATACATGGGACCTATAACATTGGCTACTAAGCAAATCCGGTACTGGTAACTAAATAAAAGTCAGCGTCTAGTACGAAACAACAGTACAGTTCGGTATCACTAGAATGCTTTTTCATATCAATTAGGTTTGGTGGACCATGGAAGGGCACTAGGACCACATATATATTACGTCACAGGACATTTCTTTGGCGTTCAAATACCATGTTTTAATACTCAGATATGAAATTGAAATGTTATATCGTGAAATTAAGAATCCTCTCACACCTTGATGCGCTTTGTTTGGCCTTCCATGGTCCACCCACCTTATGAAGCGCTAGCTGAGTCCGCAACTTCATGCCCGTTTTATCCGTATAAAATAAATACTAAATTTTAAGTGAGGCTTTCCACAACACAGCAGCCTAACATATAAAACCACTCTCAAATCGGTTGTCTTTCTGAGAATAACACCCAAAACCGAATAGAAAAAAAATAACAGTCATTGTTTTAAGTTCTTATATAGTTTTTCTCATATATCTCCCATGTACAGACAACAACCAGTTACATTTTATTATATACTAACTGTTTATACTAATTTCAGAGACAATGCTAACTAATATTATAAATGAGTCTTTATGTCTTAACAAATAGCAAAAGCAAACTTAATACAAGGCATAAATATCATATGGATTAAAGGCCAAAGGCCAGACTCATCCTGATTAACAAAGCCAGATCAAAATGATACATATAAATAAATTATGTAACAGATGGTAAATAAATCTATGATACCTATGTATAACTATAGAAACCCAAATAACAAATGTAACAATTAAGTTTCTTGGCAGTTCTCAACTAAGCAAAAATACAGGTCTTCAGAGCCAACATTTTTACAAGCTAGCGGCTCACCTGATGGTAAGTGGTAACCGTCGCCTATATACATAAGCAGCAATACAAAACCTGATATTATAATGTTACACCTGTGATACTAATCATGCATTGTCATTCCAGAGGAATAAAATTGCTCTCATTGTAATTTCACTACCTAATCTGATCCTAGAAACGAAATACGGCTTACGAAGCAAGGTGACGACTGAAATCATTGACACTGAAGTACTCACGAAGACGACTCTATAAACTACATCCGATCTCCAAACGTGCTGGATTCTACAACCCATAGTAAAAAACAATAATATGCATAAGTGATAAAAATGTCCTACATGATTTATTAATTTGACTCACAAATTTCTCTTATTATAATATTAGCATACATTGTTAGTTTTAAATTACTAATTTCACAGAAAAAGACCCTAATAGCATCTTTACCAAAATGCAAAAAATAGCAGAATATAGATAGGTGAGTAGGTAGATAGATGTGAGTGCCAACGAAGGCATAGACTAATTAATTTACTGACTGAATCATTCTAATCACAATCAGATTGATCAATCTATATCGTCGCAAGCACTCGGTTTTAGGTCTAGGGGATAACATTGAAGACTAATACTAATAATTTAGTTTATGATTGGATTAAATGGTGAAAATGTTTGGAAATTTCAAAAGCAAAATATGGAGTATTCATAATTGTCTTAGTCGTACATTTTTGTGCTATATATGCTATGATAAAATGTATAAAAAAGAGCACTTTTTATTAAAAAACTTAGTTTTTTTAAATTTATTACAACATTAAAAAATCGTTAAATAGTGTAGATGCAAACCTTTGATGTAAGAAGGCTCATATTATTTGAAACTGCTACCCCATTATGTATCACTGTTATTATAACTTTCAAATGTAGCATTAAAACAGACGAGTTCGCCAAGTTCTATTGATAGCAATTTCTACAGTGAAATTGTCTATGGTACTTATAATTTGTAAATTGAACATTCTATTTTATTTCATACGAGACTTGTTGATAACAGGTTTACATAATTAATCTAACGTACAATTCTACTTACACTACTTAATGGATTTATATTATTTTGTTTAATTCCGCTACAATTAGCATGTGACACCGCTAAATATATTCAGTGCGGACATTTGACTACCGTTATTATCTTCTCTAATGGTTATCAAATTCTGACCGTTATTGAGTATACATCTATTTTGCCACACGTGTTTACTCTTAACGAGGTATCATTAGATATAAAATACGGTTTGGAAGCTTAGTGTTGTCACGATTTGGTCGCCGAACATATTTGGCGTCTCACACAAGGTAATTGTAGCGGAATTAAACAAAATAATTCAGTAAATCGTGAAATGGACTTCCGCAAAATAACACCTCACTCGATAAAATATAACTTAGAACTGATAGTAAAATAATACATATAAAAACGACATAATCTGTTATCATTGAACATTATTAGCAATTGCGTAACAAAAATTAAGTAATTGTTACTTTTCTTATGTATGTACATAAGAATGATGATAAAAAATGGCAAACATGTTGACGGGTGGAGCCCACCTGATGGTAAGTGCTAAACCGTCGCATATACATGAACAGCACTACGGACATCACGTTATCATGTGATATTGACGACTATGTTGCCATTTCAGGGAACTAAGATGTCATGCCTCTTATCCTTTAATTTCAAGTATTTGATTTGTATTGTGGCATTAACAACCAAACCGATTTCCTTTACCCACGTTAATGATTATGTAACGCAGTTGCAGTTGCCTATTTTAAAACCATCGCTAGTGAAAATATTGTATATATTAATATAATATATAGCTTTATCACCCTACAATTATGTAGCTTACATTATTTAAACAGTGAAAGAATTCGTGAAATCTGTTCAGTGGTTACTTCATATATTATAAAGTATAATAAGTATAGATTTGACATTCACACATGCAAACTTTAAAATTCGTTTTGCAATTCCCACCATCAAATGATACATAATCGCAAACCCTTCACTTTCTAACTGTCAAAACTAATGCAACTGCGTTACTTCATCAAACCAAAATGTCTGTTGCCACTATACTATTTTCCTACATTCATATTTTGTACTTTTCATTTCTACACTTCACATACACACACACACAACAGCACAATACAGTGTAATTAATGCACAAATACTACAATCAGATAGAAAAACACCAAATAAATTGTTAACTTGATTCTTTATTAACATATAATTCGCTAATTTATACGTGACACCACGTAAGCTTGGAAATCCAAAATTATGCGTGAATTCCATGCAAATTTACAAATACATGCAGTATTTTATAAGGATGTGTAATAAAAACTACAACTAAGCGTATAATATCATCATTATTACATTATAACCAAGTTTTTTTTAATTTTAGCGGGAACAATAAAAAAAAGGATTGAAAATAAATATAAAAGCAGATCACGCTATAAACACATAATATTTAAACTACGAACATCAAAATAAATTAGTTGATCAATACATGTAATCTGTTAGACTACTCTGGAAACTAATTCCGATATAATAAAATTGGATTACGAGGTTTCGCACATTTTATATTCTTGAATTACAATACGAACGAATTAATTTCATATTTCGTAATAATTGAAATGATAAATAATTATAATAATAATATTGTTATTAATTTAATCAGTTTTGTCCTGATTACGCTTAAAAAAACAGTAATAATCATAATAACACAGGACACAGCCCCATCTAGAATTTTTTTAATACGTACATAATATATATAGAGAAAACAAATTGATACACGCAATCATATGAATACAAACGTTTACACCGTGCGAGGAATCGAACCCGCTACATCAAAAGTAAAGCAGTGTGGATGAGATAAATTAAATCTAAATATTGAGATTAGACTCCAGAGCAGACTTGTTCATAAAAATATTAATTATGAATTTTATATTACTTAATGAAATAGTAACTCTTTCTTACAATAATTTGAATGGAAGCTATATTGGCTTTACTTGTATGTCCTGCATTATTGTTAATTATCTGGATAATTCAGAATACAGCCTCGGATCTTAGGGGGCAGCAAGTTCTGGGGGCGGCTAATTCAAACTTGGCAGATGAATATATAACTTGTCATTAACGCACCTTTAACAAATTGACTACTAACAGAGAGACGTCAAGTAAATTGTTGTGTTAAATTTGAAAATAACGATACAGCTATTAATAAAGCCACAATAATTAACAGCAATACTAATTGGACAAATTGTATGTTAATATGTATATTGCAAACAAGTTGGATGGAGGGGGTGAAACGGGTAAGTTTTTAGAGGGGGCGGCATTTTAGTTTTTGGCCAGCCTAGAAATAAATGATCCGTAGCTGAGTATGAGTATGATACTGCAATTAATACAGCATGCTAAGTAAATATCAGCGACGTCCCCGATAGCCCCCTCGACCTCGTCGGTCCCGGTCATCGTGCTGGTAATACCCTTGGCTCTGATACCCTTGACCTTGATTGTAATCTTGACTTTGACCTTGGCTGTATCCTTGACTGTAACCTTGAGTTTGGTATCCTTTGTTGTAACCCCCACTATTCCCGCCACTTCCACCTTCAACATAATATATTTTGAATTAGTAAATATAAGGTCATGAGGAGATTTGTTTCTTTTCTTTAACCCTATGCAGTAGCATAGGGTTAAAGAAAAGAGACAAATCATAAATGTTATTGACGCTAGACTTGACATATGATAGGAGTTTGTAATAGACCTACATGAATAAAGATATTCTGAATTTAAATTTCAATAGGAGGGGGAAACTTTTGGAATAGAATAGAATAGAAAATCATTTATTCAAATAAACTTACATTGAAGCACTTTTGAATAGTCATTACATTTTTTTAATCTACCGCTCATTCAAAAAGCTGTCTCATCACAAGAAGAACGAGCAAGAAACTTGCGTGTTGCTCTTTTAAATAATTTTATTATTACTTTACATTTTTAAGTTTAAGTGTGTGAATACAAACCACCAATTAGTGGGAGGTTGGGGCAATTTATACGACACGATGAACTTATTAAAAAAAATATCGAAGGGAAAAAGAAGAAAAGAGAAGAGGTAGACCAACACACAGTATATAAGTAGATTCGGGAAAAACGGGAGTCGTGTGGTATCAACAACTAAAGAGAGAGATAAATTCTTGGTGAATTTATCGTGTTGGGCTAACTGACCGGACGTCATGCTCATCCTGTCATTCTCTACTGGTGCCCCGCCAGCGTAAGCCGTTAGCGCAGGCGGGTGCACATTCCATTATCATCCATAAATAACGCACTAGACCACTGAGTCAGTCAAATTATTTTACAAACCTTGATTATACTGATTGTAGTTGCCCATACTGTCGTAACCACCGCTCTGGTTGCTGTGCCCGTGGCCGTTTTTCCTTTCATATTGATTATAACCGCCCGGCGGTACTTCATATGTCTGGTAGTTTCGCGAGCTTTGGTTAAAGCCGGCTGGACTAGTTTGGGGCCTGAGGATTCAATATTGATAATTAAACATCTATGTATGTAATTTAAGAGGGTTATCTAGTCCAAATAGAATAAATAAATAATATAGACCCCTGGATAATTAACACAGCGCTATCTAGTCGCATAGTAAGGAGAGCTTGTAATTACAAATATATATTTATATAGTTTTTTCTATGTATACGTAATATACATAGAAAAAACCCAGACCGATACAAATAATCATACTCATGACTACATATGTTTGCACCGTGCGAGGAATCGAACCCGCGACCATCGGAAGTATAGCGGTGTACTAAACCGTTAGACCACCGAAGTCGTCATGTAGAATAGCCCCCCAACCTATAACTCACCTGGCCTGCTCCCCAGACGACTGGTTGTATCCTCCTTGTACCCGGCCACCGCGACCCCCGGAAGGTCCATTGTGTCCCCCAGGGGGCCCGCCGCGCCCCCCGCCACCCCCAAAACCGCCACCACCGCGACCCCCTCTGCCACCGCCGCGTCCGCCCTATAATTAAAATTTATTTATTATTTTCGTGAAAAGTCACGTATTATTAAAAAAAAGGTGTTAAAGCACAATTGAACAGCGCGGATAGCGCAAGCTACCGGCACGCGCGGTATTTCTCGTTCTCTTTGTCTACATTTACATACATTTTATTTCCTGCGTGAAAGGCTATTCGCTTTTGATTGGAGATTAAGATTGGATTTAAGATTTTGATTGGAGACTGTCCAGTTGACACAATACATACTTGCGGAGCGGTTCTTTGCTGCCATGATGGCATTTCCGGCGGTGGTGGCTGTTGTTCATTCGGCCGTCCACCTCTATCTGGAACCTACAAAAAACATATTGTTTTGATATATTTCCCTTCCTAATGTAACATAATTAATGCAATATCTGAAAAAGGTTATGAATAACATACTCGACTCGACTACAGGTATACTGAAATTATAATATTATCTCACATTATAAATGATTGACTGAAATTAAATTATATGTCTGTGTGTTTGTTACCCGTACACTAAGAGCTGAACAGATCGTAATGAGATTTGAGATGATGATAGAACTGTACTAGACAACCGATACAAATTATGTATTTGTATCGGTTGTCGAGTGTCGCTTATTCATAGAAACACCCATACCGATACAAACAAACATGGTTATTAATACAAAGTTTGTACCGTACGAGCAATCGAGCCCGCTACTAATTGAAGTGAAGTGGTATGCTAAACGGCTAGACCAGCGAGGCTAGTATGGCGATTTACTTAATGACTCTGTCCTATAATTACTTACCTGTCCTATAATGACTTTGTTGACATCACTCTGGGTATTCTTCCGGACACTAGCGCTGGAAGTCTTCTCGACTTGTAACAACGTCGTCCGGGCGGCCAGGAAGTCGGACAGCTTCACATCCGGTTTCACCTTGAGGTGCTCCCGTTTCGGACGGTAGGTGGATTGGATGTCATCCTTTTTAGACTTCAAGCGGTCAGACCACTGTAAACAATAGAATGTATAGAAAGATTTTAATTAGTGATGCAATAAATGGATATACTAGTGATAACTTTTTTTATAATAAAAAGAAACTCGTTATTGCGAACTAAAGTAAGAAGTACAAAAAAAACTGCGGTAGGGAAGTGTATGGATCGGATTTAAAGGGTACAAACAGTTTATCTCGATTTCCGGCAAAACTACAAATTCTATGTAAAAAATTTAAATTCAAAGTCGTAGATAATAAACTTTTGTATTTATACTCTTTTTAAATTACTTTTATGTGAAAACTGCAAAAAACAAATATTTGGTTTACATTTTTAAGTTTGACAAAAAATATTGTAAAATACGGTAAAAACTTATTAACCAAACACTGCAATTTTTTAACTTATTTTGACTTAATATCGAAAAAGCACCCTAATAGTCATTCGAAAATTCTCACGTCCATATATCAGTTTCTTTTTTAAAAGTCAGTCAGGCTTTCTCTAAAATCTTTCTGATGTAAAAAATAAGTACACGTAAAATGTGTAAATAATATGTACGAGGATTCCCAGACGACTGTAACACTATTTCTGGTAAATAGTTACTGTACCTCAAAACTCTGTATGGTGCATTCAAGCCTGGTGATGAGTGTTTCTCTTCTCAGGCGGTACTCCTCGAACATTTCTGTGTAGTCTGTCTCTAGTTTCTTCCAGTCTTTCTCTGTTATTGATTTATTGTATAATGGTTTGCCGACTAGTTGATCACCTAAAAATGCAAAGAAAATTATAATGAAACATACCTGGGTATGTTATATAACGCCTGTTATTTCAGATGGGGTAGTCAGAGTCAACTGTCGATGTTGTGATGAATGAAAATTTCGGTATATTTTTAATCTACCGGAGCGAGTCTACTGCTAACTCTCGGTATATTGTTTAATATAGGTGTTAAAACTGGAGTCAGTCAGCAATATAAATTGAGTTTATCCGTGATCATGGCGGTTGAAACACTGCCGAAATATCGGAAACTCAATAAATATACAACGTGGTAAGATCCCGTAATTTTTCAGAAACTCAGATCTCTTTATCGTAATTCAGGGTAGTAAATACAGTAGTAAAAAAAAACTTTCAAACAAAATTATAGATACCTTCTTTCTGTATTGTATCCTTCAGCTTTGCCTCTAATTTAGAGAACAACATCTCTGGTGTGATGTTTGGAGGCGGTTTATTAAATTTAAGAGAGATCAATATTTCCTTCAGATCCTTGGCTGTTGGCGATTCTTGCTGAAATAACAAAACATTTCACAAGTTAAATAAATATTACAGGCACAACTGCCCAGATGAGAGATTGCGAAAAATGGAGTCCAACTTACATTTATAATTTACCTTAATAAAAAAATCTGTATTTGTATAGGTAGGTTTATTCAGACACCTATAAAAAGTAAAATTTACTGAGCATTTGGAAAGTAGCTGGGGTCAAAAATAAAGAAACTCCACTCTATATTTCAAATGTATAATACCATTTGAAAGTTTTTAGTGACCCATCGCTAGCAATCCATAAGACCACCTCCATGCAGTCTCCTATAACAATTATCATGATTGATTACTAGTGACCATATCACAACTGACCCATCTATTGAGACATCTCATACCATAATCCTGGTGCCTCACCAGCGTATACTGTTCACGCAGGTAAACACGAGTGTTCTATATCAAACTCTTTTCAAATAAAATTGCTACATTATAAAGTTATAAAATAACCATCTCTTATATATGTATATATATAAAAATTATGGTCATCATGTTATCATGCTGAAATTTCACTACCTTATCTCACCATTCAGCCAAAATACAGCTTACAAAGCTAGTTACATAAACTAGGTAACACTGAGATTCTTATCCAAACAAAATTGGCAATTGTATGTACTTACTTACTATATTTATATAATAATACTATATTTATATAATAATACAATATTTATAAAAAAAAATACCATAACAATTTCCATTCCAGAACCCTTCTTTTTACTAGGCTTGATTGTAGATACCATTCTTGCTGCCATCAGTTCTGATATCATATAGTCTAATAAAAGTAGTCTATCCTCCTTTGACTGCAGGCGAGAGGACATATGGCCTAAAAAAATTAAAACTATATATATAGTGCCAGTCTTAAATAATATTAAAATTTCAATGCTGAACTATCTACTTTCCCTTTTACAAGATACAATATATGTGTATGTAAATATTATATTGATTATATTACATTATTATGTATATTGGACATAGACATTATGATAATAATAGAATTTCATGTCATTTTTTTTAATACATCCTTAAAAAAATAAATTTTACATATTACTTATCATAGCTTTTAACAGCTAATGTTGCTACATAATACAAACCATTCATGCTTATTCTAGCCTCCTTCAGGGGTACCTTTAGCAGTATATACCAATAGGACTGGCTGGCATACCATTCCATTATCATCCAGAAAAAATAAATTCATAATAACAGTGATAAATTACCTATAACCAATGCTTTATATGGACATCCAAGCTCTTTTAGAAACGAACTCAACTCCAGCAAGAAGGACACAGATTCATCAGGATTATTCATCACATTTATGGTTTCCTCCAGGTGGCATAGTGTCTTCAGTTCCTCAGCCAGGATGTGGATCAGTTTAGTGAACTCCAGAGATTTGGGGCCACCATCAAGGGCCTTCATGAAGGCCACTTCATCCAGAAGTGGGCCCTCATAACTGTTTGAAATTTACATGTAATTTTATTATACAAAATTAATATAAAAAATTATAGAAAAAATATATATTCTATATAAAATTCTTGTGTCACAATATTGTGACACAAGATACTACTCAGATATGGTTTGACCAATTTTTATGAAATTTTATATGCATATTTAGGAGGTTAAAGAATCAACTACTATCTATATTTCGTAAGTGATAAAGGTTTTTTTAATTTTTTTTATAATATGGCATTAAAAATACAAATAGCCCTAAACTTTCACCCTTCTATTGAAAACCCCTATTTTTTAATAGAGATTTTAATTTATATGGCAAAACAGTGTTTGTTTATTCCAGCTAGTGTATATATAATTATTGCTTTGTAACTCTATGTAACTCATTTTTAATTTATGTAGTGAAATGATAATATCCATTACAGGGATACAATTCTTATTCTAAGAGGAAAAACAGTTTTTTTTACAATAATCTTCATAAGGCTTCAGGCTTGTTACTGCTTTATTGACACATACATCTTTAAGAAAGAAGAAGTGTTGTTGTCAATATTGAAGAATAGTAGTTAAATTGCTAGCAATATGCCAGTTCAGACCAATCTCCATGTAGCCCCTGACCTTAGTAGTCTAGCACACCACTATAGTTGATTATGGGTTGAATATATGCATAATACAAACATTTGTATTCATGAATGCAAATGTTTGTATTAGTCTATTGGTTTACTATTCCTATAGTTTACAAAAAAGTTTTAAGTATTTCAATCAGTACTTTAGTACCCACAATATAAGATATGCTTAGTTTGGAACTACATAGATCTGTGTGAATTGTGCTTGGTTATAATAACCAAAAAAAACCTGCTACATATGGACCCCTAGCCACACCCCAATCCTGTACCCCCTAGGACTTGAGAAAAAAGGTATATATTTATCATTTCACATTATATTGATATGTATCATCAAACAGTACGATAACACTTGTTAAAAAGGGGTATAATCAATGTCTATTCAATTATAACACCGACGCGAGACCTCATAGGTTATCAAATTTGATCCGGCAATTACGAAAAAATCAATATATGATACCTGCATATATATAGTTAAGTTTATTAATAAAATTATTGAAGAAATAAGTCTAGTAATGTTTAAAACATCCTAGACCTTCAAAATGTGATTACTTTTAGAAATAAATGTAATTGAATTATGGTACAGCTGTTTAATATAACCTCCAAGTAATAACCTCATAGTAAACCTTTCAAATGGTAAAACTTATAAATACAGAGATATAATTCAAAAGAAATATGTATTTAGTAAATTAAAAGCAAATTTTATACACAATAAACTTACCCCAAATCGCTTAATCCATCTAAGACATCGTTTTCCATGTTGTAATTATGTTCGTTTCATTCGATATAAATATTATTTATACTTATTTAAAGTTATAAAAAAATCAGAATTTATATTAGAGATTATGACTCCTCTATTGGTTAAAATTAGCTTTAATTTAAGTAGGTTTCTTAATTCGTTCAGATTCTTTTTTATGCTACGCCAACCATAGAAACCAAAACCAAGAGAACGCCACTACACTGTGTTACCATATGACTGTCTAGTAATTTTAACCAAAGTAGTAATTTTATCCAAAAGTCCCCATAAAATAAATTTTGAAGAAAAATCCTCGAATAAAAAAATATGTTTCGTGACCATGTATTTGAAACATTTTTGCTAAATAGCTCTTTTGTTCTTCTGTCTTCTTTTCATACTTCGACCGGTTCGCAAAATAGATATGTAGTGCTTGATGTACAATAGTTTTTATTTTTTTTATGCTATACTAATGTGAAAATGATGATATTTTTTTAAAATAAATTATTAGAATATAAACCTGCAAGCTATAATTTCCAAAAAGCATATTCCACTGTTCTTAAAAATTATAGACGGAAGCTATTTATTCTAGTTTTTAGATATAACGCCCACCTTAACATGGTCTTAAAGTTTTCTACCTTCCAAAATATCTTAGAAATAACAATTCTCCCATAACATTTATTTTTCCTAAAGTAGGGAAAATATCTAAAATAGCAACTTTACGTCATTGTCAAATATTTAAAAAAAAGGAAATTATTTTTGTTTAGGATTTCCCTACGCTGAAGGCTAAAGGTCACAGCCCATACATCCTTGTCTTTGGTAATATCGATAATTTAATATGAATTTAAGTAGGTTATAACAGTAATAAGCCATTGTCAATTTAAGTATAATTTGCTAGATTTGTAAAATACTTCAGGTACTATAATCTACATAATCTATATGTGACACACGGTTCTACAAACGGTACTTATCTACAAAGAAACTAAAGTACCATGTACTAATGAACGGAAGTTAACTGACTACCTACGAAGTTGTAGGTAAAAGCTAATACTACTAAACTAAACTAATACTATAGTTCAAATTTTATGTTATTTGTGAAGTACAGGTAATAAAGATTTTAAATTAAATAATTTCATTTACTCTATCTATCTATAATCTATAATCTATACATATATATATAATGTGCATTTACTGTACCTACTTAGGTATAACTTTTTTTTTAATGGAGGTATATGGCATGGTCTGGTCTGGTCTGGTTTACGCTGGCGGGGCACCAGTGGAGGATGATAAAATGAGCATAAGGTCAGGTTATGCCATTGTGGTAAATTTATCACGTAATCACAACATTTTCTAGATTCTCAGGGGGTACCACTTGAATTGAGGTCAACCTGCCATGGTTTATTGTACATACCCCTTCCCCTTATAAATAACTTATTATGACGACCTCGGTGGTCTAGCGGTTTAACACACTGCTTTACTTTCGATGACCGCGGGTTCAATTCCTCGCACGGTACAAACATTTATGAGTATGATTGTTTGTATCGGACTGGGGGTATGCTGTGTATATTATGTATGTATTTACAAAAAAAATGTCTAAGTATTAGGTTGTCTAGAACCCATAACACAAGCTCTGCTTACGGTGGGACTAGATGGTGCTGTGTTAATTGTCTACGGTAATTTATATCATATGTAAATAACTCCTCTCCACATATTTAGACAAAAATTTTCTGACATTTTGCCTTCAATTCAGATAAAGAAGATCAATCATATATTGACTCATAGTGCTTCGTCAATATCTATTGATTAATAACGATCAAATGACTGCATTATTTGCAATTAGTAGATTACTTAATTATTATTAATAAAATTGTAATAAATAACATTATTGCACAAAATTAAATAATGTCTTTGAGGGCAAAATAAAATATCTATTATTTGGTGAATGAATTTATTAATAAAATATTGAATACTATACTGTAATATATAATACTAGGTGATGTCTTCACGCCAATTTTATACAAAAAATCACAAAATGAATTATCATAATTGAGAATTGAGAAAAATATACATATATTATAGAAAAATATATTTTTCTCAAATTTCTCTAACCATTATGTTGAATTATATATAACAACATATTCTTATAAAATTTCTTAAAAATTCTCCGTAATCAAAAATTCGAATCTGGAGTTCTCCGTAATTTCTTCAGGCATTTTTACGTGAAAGAGACAAATATATATACAAGGGGCGGGGGAAGGGTATTGTCAGTCTGCGTTGTGGTTATTGCTAGCAATGTACCACGTAAGGATAACCCTCACGGGGTTCCCCCTGGAAACCACCGTGATAAATTCATAGTGAATTTACCACACTGTACTAACTGACCTGACTTCATACTCATCTTATCATCCTCCACTGATGCCCCGCCAGCGTAAACCGTCAGCGCAGGCGGATGCAACATTAGATTATTATCCCTAAAAAAAAACATATATTGCAGTATTTTCCGCCTCATCACGATTTCACGGAAACATTATCAACAAACAGACTTTCGTCTCATTCTGATTTTATTATATGTAAAGATGACGCACAAGCCATCTTCACATATCAATTTATATTATACGCATTAGCATACCTGAGATAGCTAGATATACATATATAGGTACATCATAATGTTGATATCAGATAGATAGAAGACACTTTATGACAATGTATGTGTGCGTAATGAGACGTGTTTGTGTGAGGGGTACCTGCGCCGGCGCAGGTGTATATATGGGTTAGGTTAACTCGGCCACTCGGCACTTTTAACTTTTTTCATAACATGCAATGTTTTGTTCTTTGATAATTAATATTTTTTATATTATTTTGTGAAATTGGTATAATAATAACCCTGTCCACGGTCTTATCCATAATATACATATATAATAATATTAAATATAAATAAATAACCCTGGACAATTAACAAAGCGCCATCTAGTCCCACGGTAAACAGAGCTTGTGTATCTAAGTATTTATATCAGTTGGGTAATAGACAACTGATATAAATACTTAGATATTTTTTTTGTAAATACATACATAATGAATATAAGCAATAGCCCCAGCCCAATAGAAACAATCTTTCTCGTGAATTTAAATATTTGCGAGGAATGGAACCCGCGATCATCGGAAACCGATAAACTACCGAGGCCGTCAATATGACGAGGTATGGCAAATAAGCTGACGAGTTACTTGATGGTAAAAATTGTATATAAAACATCACACTACATATTACCATGGCTAGATAACATATAGAAGATAGCATGCTTTCCAATCCTATAATTTTACTGCCTTATATAACTTTTCAACTTACAGAGCAAGCTGCTAAAATAACTGAAGCCTGCTTTCTGTTTAGTCGTCTAAAAATATCTTAGGTAATTTAGTAATGAGTAAAAGTAAAACACTTCCTATTCTCTGAGTAAAAATACAACCTTTTTTAAAATATATCTGTTAGTCTCTTATTTTTAAGATTTATTTCTACATAGGTATGTTAAGTGAAAATTAAAGAATAATTACATTTATTTAAATTAGCAAGTGGCCTTGCCGACATGACGCACACTTGCTGTCCAAACACGTTTTCTACACACGTTCTCTGTCCCACAATCACAGCGTCTCCACAAACGAATCGGTCGCCACGAACGAAACGACCACTCCGTCACTGAGGCCACACTCCACCGCGCTGGCAAACGCGGCGAACGTATTGCCTTTCGCGTTCTAAATTCAAAACTCCAAAACGAATAGCGTATTCGAATTTTGAATACAAATGTAACGCGAACTGTGTTCGGTTTCTGAAAAATCGTAAAGTGCCATAAAATAGTGATGTCCTTATTGGTGTAACATAATGGGTGTTTTATATTGTCTTTTATTTGTGACCGTTTTGGTTCCTAGTGTTTATGGTCAAAATGCGGCCGAATGTTATGGTGCTGGGAGTGTGGCTGGGGCAGCCATAGGTGGGTTTTTGGGCGCACTCTTATTGTTGGCAGTGGCGTTTTACTTGAGGAAACTGTATTGGAAATCTCGCAAAGGTAAGTCATATTTTTACTACGACCTTATTACATATATCTAATGAGATTTAAATTATTTGTACATGTAGATAAAAATTCTTATTTATGCACCTTAGTTAAAAAACTTTAAAGCGTATATGTTAAAATAATTGGATACCGTTTTAAAAACACGCTAAAACATAATTGTAATAAATTGTTGTTGGTGGGTACTTGGTTATTCATCTACCCTCTCATTTATTCACAATTGCAAAGAACGGTTGAGAAATACCTTTCCGTCTCTTTCTAAGAATGTTTAGTCGTCGAAGTATCAAATACCATACAAATGAGTAATGTAGGTACATTACATGTCTCAAGCTAAATCTCAAGACGCCTCTGCCGGCAAACGCAGAGGGGTTAAACTAAGAACCTCTGTCATAACATGTTAATAAAGTTTGCATTGCCATATAGATATATCAAGAAATTTTAATAGGAGACAGCTTCTGTCTGTGTACTCATACTAGCTGCTATCCACGACTTCGTTTAATAGATAGATAAAATATACATTATTTGCATCATACAGTAAAGAAGAGGTACAAACAATATATCAAAGGACACATGTATCGTTACAATAAGGCGGCCTTATTGCAGAAAGCAATCATTTGCTTTTTGAGATAAATGATATAAAACCTACTAGTGTTAAGAGTCTTAAAATGACTGCTAGCGCTGAAGGATGGAGTCAAGATTACCCAAGTCTTGATCCGTGGTAATATGGATAGAGGATCTTTAAGGTAAAAGTCGATAAACCTACTTCTATACTCAATTGTGAGTCGGTGATAACCAGTTTTCAGTAAAACCACGAAGCAATTTCATACCAATGTCTGAGGTGATGAAATTTTACATTACAGCGTGCCTAAAGGTCAAATAGTTTTCGATACGACGCAGAATTAAATCTACGCGTTTTTCTCTCTAGTGTGTATATAGCCTAACAAGTTATAAGTATTTTTTCACTAATATTATAATATGTGACTTTTAGTTTATCTCAAAAAATAATGTACACTCCAGTTTTTAGTAGGTACAAAATTATCCAAAATTAAAACATTTGTGTATTTATATATTTAATGTCAAGAGCTATTAAATAAACTGTATATTTCTTACAAGAAAGTTAATATACTATAGTTATGTAACACATCAGAAGGGGAATACCAAAAAACGTAACATAAAGTAAATACCTATTTATGTAAAAAAAAACTGTTTTCCTGTTTCTTTTAGCAATGTGTTGGTAATTTCATATTACCGTAGAATGACCGTATAGCCATTCGTACCTATAGTTCCCATAAACTGAATAGTTACGGTCCTCAAATCGGAGATGAAAAAGCGGGGGCGGAAGAACCCTACAACTCTTCCTAGATCAAGACGACTATTTTCAAATATGGCGGGGCTAATTATTTCAATCAATGCGCCATTCTAAATTTAAAATATATAGTAAAGACAATATTTTATTTTTTTATAATGTGGCATTAAAAATACACATAGCATTAAAAATTTAGGTTTGTAACCTAAATTTTCACCCTTCTATCACCAACTCCTATTTTTTAACAGCGTATTTAATTTACAGCTAGTCAGTTAGTATTATATAAAATAACGAAAATTGTAATGTCACTCTTTTTCTTTATAATATGTCGAATCGAACATTCCAAATTCAAAATATGAATATTATATTAAGAAAAAAAAATGTTTATTTGGAAGAAAAAAAAACTTTACTGATAACGTTTCACCACACCTCACCATAAATTGACAACAAAATGCAGAGAACAAATTGTATAACAATTCTTGACGGTGCAGCATTATGAATGCTTGTAATTTCATTGTCCGTGCTCAAATTCCAAAACGTACACATCTGTTTTGGCGGTATTTAGATAACAATGACTTGGCCGACTGTTCCCACGTGGTAATTGTAAACGTTTTGATGCCATAGACAATTTTGTCGTAACCTTTTTTTACTACACAATACATGAGGAGGTTTGAAAAATTCGCACAGCGTTAACTGTTCTCAAATATAAGCTAAGCTAAGGGGGAGAAGGGATTTTTTTAAGGGATGATAATGGAATGGTGCACCCATCTGCACTAATAGTTTACGCCTGCGGGGCACTAGGAGCATGGTAAGGCATCTCATCGTGACAAATTCACCATGAATTTATCACGATTGTTTCCAGGAGAAACCGCGTGCAGGTCAACCCAACAATACAAAGGGTTAACAGTCCACATTACTAATAATCACCTTCCCCTCAGGAAAAGGGGGTTATTAGTAATAGATAATAAGTTATCTGACTTCATCTACATCCTAAAGTGGTGCCCCGTTAGTGTAAAGCGTTAACGCAGTTGGTAGCACCATTCCTTCACTAAGAGAAGCTTGTATTATGGGTATTAGACTACTAACAGATATACTTAAACACACTTTTTTACAAATACATAGAAAACACCCAGATCAATACACACAATCATTCTGCGATTCGAATCGAACTACCGACGATCGGAAATAAGGAAGTATGCAATACTTATTTTGAAATCAGCCCCAATTTCGATACACATAAGGCGTTCTAAGTGATTCAGGGCTCCGTCCACTGCTTCGATATCGTCCCTAACTTTGGTGTCGTGTCTACACCTTTTATACGTCACGTCATGTTTTTTTTATACTATAATGGTGGCAAACAACGTTATAATGACGTAGCAAGTTACATGGTAAAATTTCGTATAAATAAAGACTAGGTGCCTCGCGCACCTGGGTCTACGTTCAATACCGGTCTCCCCATTGGTCGTAGCGTAATGTTATGTAGTCTAAAGCCTTCAACGATAAATGTCTTCATAAATAAACTATCCAACACTTACAATTTTTCAAATCAAACCAGTAGTTTCTGAGATTACCTTGTTCAAACAAACAATCTCTTCAGCACTACATATAATATTAATATAGATAAGTACGTACTTATTAAACATTTTGATACGCAATACATGTAGTTGACTATGTCACAACATCATGTTAAGTGATAGTCATCTATTGATTAATGTTGTAACAAATAGTAGAAATGACACACGATTATTGATAAAACAAATCTATAATTAATTTGATATATATATATACTTTTCCTTATATATAAATATATACTTTTCCTTTCGTTAGCACTAAACGTTTCGATAGTTTTTTTTATTCTTATAGAAATAGAAATAATCTTTATTCAAATAAACTTAATATAAGCACTTTTGAATAGTCAAGTTTTTTGATTCTACCGCTCATTCGGAATGCAGACTCATCACAAGAAGAATGAGCAAGAAACTTGTGTGTTGTTCATTCTTCTTGTGATGAGTCTGCATTCAGTAGATGAGTAGTATATAAATACTAGCTAACCCAGCAAAAATAGGGTTTGATGGTAGAAAGGAGTAAATTTAGGAGCGGATCACTCATATCATTGAGGGTATGAAATATACATACGGGCCGATTCTCAGACTTACCCGGTATGCACACAAAATTTGATAAATATCGATAAAGTCGTTTCGGAAGAATTTGATATCAAACATCGCAACACGAGAATTTTACATATTAGATAGGACAAATTAAGTAGGAATAAAATAAGAAATAAGAAAATAATTGAATATATAAAATAGACGAGGAATGAATAATTGTTAGGACACTTGATACGGCACGGTTAATTTAGGAACATTATTATTGAGAGAAAAATAGTCATCGTATCAACAGTTAAAAATTATAATGGAATATCGTAGAAAGTGGCTAAGGCTCAAAAGAAGTGTGGCTCTTAAATTAAGAGTAAATGAATAAATATAGGTTAAAGTTCTTTTATTTCAGAAATTATATTTATTTTATTAAAAAAGTTAAATTCCACGTGGACGCGACTTCGCGTTTAACAGCTACTAGGGTAATAAATAAATCTTCTAGTTTAACCCTCTCTATCTCTTCTTCTTCCTCAGAGTCAACTTTATCGATTTATCTTAGCCACTCTACCGTTTCCTCATATCATTTGAGTTCGAAACAATGGTATTCAATAATATCCATTTGACATCAACCTTATGTGTCTTGGATGCGATTGGGTCAAAAGTCTCACTGCAGATCACGACTAGACTTCCTACAATACCTGTCCGTTATCTTTATTGTGAAGATAATGCTATCTCAACAATTGACATTCGTGTGAAAGAGACTACACTATTACGTGGTTAGATTACCTACTACAGTCGTATTAGCTAGGCATGTTAGGCATTTAAAATTCTTAATACTATATACATTACTGGGACTTTACTATGCAGATAACAGTGTTTTATAATCGCATTTACCTATATCTTTACATAGTATAAAATAAAGTCGCTTCAACTGTCTGTTCGCTTATATCTTTTAAATTACGCGACGGATTGTAATGCAGTTTTATGCAGTAGATAAAGGTTTATATGTTTAATACATGTCCTTCCCGTGCGAAGCTGGGGCGGGTTAGCCACACGTCCCGTCGTGCATCTTATAAAGTAACCTAGCATATATTACATATTGGTGACGCAGGCGAAATCTTTGCGTTCGTCTGTACATTATTTCCAATGATTCAAGGCTTATTACTAGTACTTTCTCTAGGCACGTACCAATCAGCTTACGTACAGACAACGTGTGTTGTGTATTTACATCATATTATGTTGTAAAGGTAGAGAAAGTTATGTCAAAGGGCTATTGACTATCTAGTAGCAGAGATATTAGTTATTTGTTACGCAAATACATTTGCTGGTAAAATGACAAAATCAATATTTCTCAACACATTTTTTTAAATTTCAAACATCTGTCTTGACAAGTTCTTAATCCCATTTTATTTATATATATATTATAATTACCCTAGATTCAATATTCCAGATTTTTTATAGCAAGTATTGAAAATTTTAAATAAACTGTACAATATTCTCAGAATCATGGGAAATAGTGTATTACTCTGACAACTTGCGGATGAGAAAAAATATTTTCATTAAAAGTGGAATTGAAATTTAGAACCAAAAGCAAA